AACAAACAAACAACGTACAGTGTGTTGAAATGTAGAATGTAGTCTTGCTCTTACCTAGAGCACGCTGAAGAATAGTCTCTTGGGCAATAAAACAGTCTTCCCCATCTAAGAACAGCTTCTTTACCTGGTAATCATCCCAAGTAGCTGGTGAAGTCCTTAAGATCTGATCTGGACAAATGCTGCTTCAAATACAGGCCTATAACCACACAACCACCACGAGCGGTCGCCTCACAGTGACAGAGGGCTCTCCATTACAGCAAGAGCTCTCCCCATCCTGTGCTTAAATTCAGACTTTTGCTGTGAGACCGTTGCCTTCAGCTACACCTCTAGTTATTTAAAGAAGCTATGCTTCATTAAGTCCTTTCTGAATACACATTCTTGCTGTCTCCAAACTTTACTTCAGGTGTCTTCTCCCCCCAAAGGAATGATCTGAACACAAGTATGTTATAGCTAGAAGTGATACCGTGCCAGATCTGTTTAAGTTCACTCACAGGGAACTGGAAATAAACAAGTAGGAAGTCCAGGCTGTAATGACTGAAAGCTATCCCTTTAACTGCTCTACTCTGCAAAAATGAAAATTGGAATGGGGAAAGTCAGAAGGAAAGAGAATGACAAGAATGCAAATGAATTGGCTATGTCAAAAAACAGGTCACAAGGAATGCTAGCATCCAAGGTAAGACTCTGTAAAGGCTGTTGACTTTGTCCATGTTGCTGGTGCTCCTCGAGCGTGAAAAGAATAACAGTGGAACCATAAACCTATTTTAGAGTAGGGAACGCAAGGCAAAAGCAGTTAGCTGCTACTAACATACACACCTGGTCCTTTCACTTCAGTGCAGATCTTTACGTTTGGTTTGCCATTCTGGGGATCCTGCCCCTCACTGTAACCCTCGCCAAAAAAAGTCATTGTAAAAGAGGTTCCATCCATCTGTAGTGGACAAGACAAGCATGGTCACCAAAACAGCAACTCACTCATATCAGGCAAGCACAAGTAGTAAATGTAAGCATCTGTTATGCCAGATACTATGATCCATCTAAACATGAGAGTAGTTATTTTGAGTTATTGCTTAAAAGGAACAATCTCATCTAAATTTTTTGACCACTTCCACTTTGTTGGAACTGTTATTGTTCTACAGCCCATTTATTCTCTCCATGCTTTCAGTCCTGGGTTTTTGCTGCTCAGTCTCCCTCTGTCATCACCTTTGACAGACTGAGTGCTGTGAGCCATCCATGTAAATACATCAGACCCAGCAACATGACCCATTTTTTCCTCACGTGAGTTCCCCGTACTTTGATGTCTAATAGCGGAAGGCATGAGTATTTAAATATCCAAAGCTATGTGAACAGGCACACACAATGTGCATTTAGAAACTATTTCTCTGAGACTAAGCAGTTGACGCTAGATTACTATTCCACCGTTACTATAACAGATTTATTCGATAACTGTGATGGAAAACAGTCAGTTACCTGTTTCTGGGTTGGTCCTTTCCTTGTGAAGCGTCCAGCAGAGAAAAATTCCGGGTACTACAGAATAAGCGGGGGGTGGGGAGAAGACAAAAAAAGACCAACAGTGAACTAGAGGAGAAAAAAAAATCTCCAAACACTTAATTCTTTTGTGTTTTGAACACTTACTTTTGTCAGAAGTTTTCTTCCAAAGCTAAACTTCACCAGAAGAAGAAATAAAATGCCGGCAAACATCAGCTTGATAACAGAGCCAAGACCACCTATGTTCACATAAGCGCCATACTGCACCTGAGGCAAACACGTTTTCAGCGATAGAATTTACATTAAAATTTTTGCATCAATGCATTTGTAAAAATAAACCTACCCCCATATTAGGATGCAATTGATATAATAGATAGCTGTTTAAATAGGGCCTTAAACAACTGTCTGAGTTCTAAACAGCTCTCTGAATAATGCTTCATGTTGTAACTCGTTATGAGAAGACAATATAACCGCAGAATGGCGAGGGAGCGAGCATGGTAAACAAGAGTGGAAAACTTTAAAGAAAGATGCACTTTGGCATCTGATTTCAGGCTTCTTTCCCAAGATCTTCCTTTCCTCCTCTCTTTGCTTTAGTTTAAGAGAAACTGAGGCCTTACTTTAGAATTCTGGAATAGCAATGGCAAGCCTTTCTCAGTAGTAGTTTCCAAGTATCTTTTTAGAGCACTCTCTCACCTCCACCTCTTAACTGATGCCTGTGATTCCGCACAGCTGTTACACAGATTGTTGGTGCCGGTCTCCTCTCAGGAAACCATGGAAAACAAAAACTAAACACCAACTTTTCCAGCACCACCACTTCACATCATTGCCTTTACTCTGCCCACCAGCGACCCAAGCGTCAAAGAAGTCTCCAGATAGAAGCGAGCAGCATAGGAATTTGTTACCAGAATGTTTACTACACTGTACTGATACTGACCTGACTGTAGTTATAGAGACTACAATTACGATGCTTTTAGAAGCTCTATTGATGCAACAAAAAAAGCCCCTGCACAGGAACAGAATTTAAGGTATTCATCAGTCCCGAAAATCATGAAGCCTACTTTTCAAATATTTCTGTGACTCAAGGTTTGCACTCCCTACAAATACATACCCAGAAATCAGACAGCATGAGAACCTTACAAGAGACTCTCGTAACTCTTATGCTAGCAGCAATAAGCAAGCTCATCAGGCAGAGTAGTATGAA